TCCCCGCTCCCCCACCCCGGCCCTCCGCAGGTCTGCGGGTCCAAGTGTCGCGGCGGCGCACTCGCGGCGAGAATCGGGAGGCGGAGGAGACGGCAAGGATAGGCCCAGGTGGGTGCGAGGGACGGCGGTGGCGGGCAGGGGTGGGCAACGAGTGGAGAGCAACCTCCGAGACCCCGGATCCTCCCCCGCGCCGCGTCCTCCATTTTGGTGCCTGCAGAGGCTTGGGCATGGATCGGCAGGGAAAATGGTGGGTTTGGGATGAGGGAGGGGACGGGAACCAGAGGGAAGGGGGAGAAATGAGACTGGGGGCCCCCTAGAGGGCGTACGGAGCCTCTCAGGTGGGAAACATGCAATTTTAAAAAGCCTTTGCAATCCAAGCCTCTGAATCTCAGAAGGTGCGTAGTAGGGCCTCTGTCCTCGGTGCTGATCAGTCCACGAGTGGGGGAAAAGTTCTTTCTCGTGTCTCTTGTCTCCTAGGAGTGATGGCGTCGAAAGAGGAACAGGCGGTAAAAAGTCTCAACGTGGAAAATGCTCAACAGGAAAACGAAGGCGGGGACCAAGCCCCCATGCAGAATGGAGAGGAACCACGCCATTTGGGAAGGGGCGAAGGCCAGAAGCCTGGCAGAAATGTCAGGCTGGGGTGGGTTAGGCGACTTGTCCCTAATTTTCGATGGGCCATACCTAACAGGCATGTTGATCACAATGAAGTGGAAGATGATGTAGAAAAGACCGTAGTGCAGCGGATGGAAATCAGGAGAAGGACTAGGGAGCAGCAAATGAGACATCATATGCGCTTCCAAACTCCTGAACCTGATAATCATTATGACTTCTGCCTTATACCTTGAATTCTAAGATTTTCTCTTGAGGTTAATAATGTGACCTCTGCTCTACAAGCTTGTAGTTTTGTGATTTACTTTTCTGTAAACCTTTTGGCGTTTCCCCTTATCAGTTTCTAACCAAGTATAGTTTGGTCTCAGTATAGAACTTTCTGTCCAGCAGGGCAACTCCACCTAGTTTTCAGAAAAAAAGTATTCTTTTCATAATGTGAAATCAATAAAGCAATTTAAAAAGCAATTTTCCTCTTCCACCCTAGTTTTTAGTTTTTGTTGATATTACCTTTCCTCGCTTAGCTGCTTGGATTCAAAATTTCAATCCACTTTGACTTTTTTTTACCCCCCACCAATCAGTAAGGAAAGATCAACATCTCAACCATTTTAAGGATGTACTTCCAACTGTTTCTCAAAGAGTGTGAGTCCATCATTTGCATAAAAATACCTTGGTGGGGGAATGTTTTGAGAATGTAGGGCCTCTGGCTCCTATCCTCCAGATCCACAGGGTGGGGCTCTGGAATATCTCCCCTTTTAGATAAGCTCCCCAGATAATTATTACATATACCAAAGTCTGAAGCCACTATTGAGTACGTGTGTATGTACATATGTCCATGTAGTGCCATAAAATATAAACAAGTTGATAACGTAGGGTGGACACTTATTTGAATTCAATGGATAAAAACAGTAGAAAAGTACAAGACCATAAAATAGACTAATCAATTAAGTGATAGTGACTGGCAGATGAGGGTACTGGAGTCTAGAGATGCTAAATACCAGGGCTACCACCCACTGTATATCTTGGGAGGGGACCATTTTCTATAAGACTTGTCATCTGGAGTTGCAAAACATTTGACTTTTGTAGCAAGCTGAAGAAGGTCAAGGAAGACTCAGCAAGACAGGTTATTATATTTTGTTTTTATCTATTTCCAATGCCAAAACTAATTTTTAGAATACAGCCTAAAGAAATCTTAAAGGCCGTCCAGTGTTCTTCAAACTAAAGAGTGTCACCTGTTATGGTTCTTGATATCAGTTCTGTGGGTCACAACAAGCCATTTCAAAAAAAAGAATAGAACCAAAAAACAGTCCATCACTTGAGTAGTTAAGAATTATTTTCAGAAACTTGTTTTAGTTGTACATGTAGGAAATATTGTCACCTTATAAAAGTGTTTTTAAATGTATTTCTAACTGTAGTTCACGGGGTAAAAACATTGAAAGTCACTTCTTCAGTCCAAATTTCATTTCACAAACTAGGTAGGAAAATAGTTTCCCAGGGTCGCACTGCCAGTCAGTGGTAGAGCTGGGACCACAGTTCCCAGTTCAGGGTACTTGTCTCACCACAGTGCTTCCACAAGGCCTGATTTGAGAAGCTTGCAGTGTGTATTGATTGTCAGTGGTGTGTATGAACAAACAGAACTTAAACAAAAATCGCTGTTTGTTTAATGTTCACACTTTAGTCATCAGAATCCCTGCATGTTCAGTTGAGAAACATTTAAGGAGATCTCTGTGTGCCTTAAAACATTTTGTACCTAGAATGATCTTTCATCTGTCTAAGGGAAGGGGATGATGGAGAGTATGATCTGAAAATGCAAGGTGATGAAATAGTCACTTCTTCAAGGCTATGTGTGCATGAAGGGGCTTTTGGTCCCTCTGAATGTCAATACTGTACCTTCTACACCAATCTGATTTCCCAAGATAGCCTCAATTTTTAAAATAATTGGGATAGAGAGTGAGATCAGAACTTGACTGGTAGAATAACTGAAGGAAACCTCACCAGGGTCTTTGGGTGGTGATGGGGATAAGGACAGACTGGGAGAAGTAAGGGTCAATGTTGGGGTTCAGAATACGTTTTGTGAAGAACTGAATTAAATTCCCTCCCTTCGGTGTTTCTGAGGGAATGAGATGATGTCAGAACTTTTGGGAAGTGGTAAAGTTCTGGTAATGAGGTCACAGTGCGATAGGTAGAAAGAACCAAATTAAGACCCCCCTCCTCTAGGAGAGTCTCTGATGGGGGATGAGAACTGAACCTTCTAGAGGCAGCAAAATTCAGGGATCTTGGTAAAATATGATTGAAGGCATCCGAGAGAAGCGCCCTTTCCTGGGTGTTTCCGCAAAAGTGGAGAAGTGAGGACAAGACTTTCGAGAAAAAGTAAAATTCAGGGGGCCAAGTCAGAAGGTGACTGAAAGAACCGAGTTACCACAGTGAACATTAATTTATACATTCATTAATTTATACATCCCATAGGAGTGTCAAATTTTCCTGATTTTGGTAGGCATGACGTTCTGACTTTTTAAGGTGATGATAAATGTCAGTGGGAGTGTCTCTGAAGAGGCCTGTAAGAAAATAAAATAAATCTCTTATGAAAAAAAAGGCGAATCAGCTAGGAACAACAAAAGGGACTAACATTCATCCCTATCTGTCATTTATACATTCATATTTGTAAATTTTTAGTTTATTAGGGAAAATGGTATATTTTCCTAGATTTTTGAAATAAGGTTTGGGTCAGAGGCCTAGTAATTAAAGAGAAAAAGAGATCTCTGATAAGGGGAGTCAGACTTTTGGTAGCATACACTATTGTTTGTCTTCAAATTACAGAAAATGGAGATATAGCTGAGAGAGTCTTTAAAGAGGCCAGCAAAGGGAAAAAAATGAACTTACAATGAAAAAAAGAAAAACAAACCGAATATCATGAGAATAAAACGCCAAAACAGGTTGTCACTTTCAGTCCTTTCAGTCTTATCTACTCATGAGTAAGCATATCAGCTATGTTAAGGTATAATTAAAGTTTTAAAAGTACCTAACGTATTCAATTTGATCTGTTTTACATATATTTAAGCCTATGAAACCATGACCACAATCAAAATAGCAAACTCTTCCATCTTCTCCAAAAGCCTCTTACCATTTGTAATCCATCTCTCCTTCCACCCTCATCCCAAGGCAATCTCTGATCTACTTTCTTTCATTATACTTTGCATTTCATAATGTTTTTATATAAATTGAATCATAGAATATACACTCTCTTATTTTTGTCTGGCTTTAGTCATTAAACATAATAGTCTTTCATGTAATAATAGCATATTCCTCTCTGTTGCCGAGTAGTATTCCATGATATGGTGAAGGTTTATCCATTCATACATTGATGCACATTTAGGAACTTTCCAATTTGGAGCTATTACAAATAAAGCCAATATGAACGTGCACATACAAATTTTTGCATAGATAGATGTTTTTCTTGGGTAAATACCTAGGAATGGAATGGTTATGTTATTATGGAAGTTTTAAGTTTAATTTTTAAGAAACTGAGAATCTATTTTCCGAGATGGTTTCACCATTTTACATTCCCATCAGTAGAGCACTGGAGTTCCAATTTCCCCTCATCCTCACCAAAATTTAGTATGGTCAGGGTTTTTTGTTAATATTTTAAATTTTTATCTTGTGGTTTTAATTTCTATTTTTTCTGGTGACTAATATGTTCAGCATCTTTCCATGTACTCATTAGCCATCCATATATCTTCTTTTGTTTAATAATTCTTTCAAATATTTTATTTTAAAATTTGGTTGGTTGTTCTCTTAATACTGAATTGCAAAAGTTCTTTATAATTCTACATTTAGTTTCTTTGATACATACGTTGTGAATTTTTCTCTTATTCTTGCCTTGCTTTTTCATTTATTTAATGGTTTCCTTCAAAGAACAAGTTTTAAATTTTTATGAAGTTCATTTAATCCACTTTTTCTTTTATAATTATGTTCTATTTAAGAAATGTGCTGCCTAATCCAAGGTTACGAAGATATTCTCCTATATTTTCTTTTAATAGTTTTATACTTTTAGGCTTTTCGTTTTGGCCTATGAACCATTTCAAGTTAATTTTTGTGTATGGTGTGAAATAAACTCTGGTGTTCATTTTGTTCCATATTGATATGCAATTAATACAGCTCTATTTGTTGGAAAGACTTCTCTTCCTCTATTGTATAGCCTTTGTACTTTTGTCAAAAATCAAGTGCTCATATATATGTAGGTCTGTTTCTGTTCTTCCTATTCTGTTCCATTGATCTATATGTCTATCTTTTCTCCAATGTGAGTGTGGTAAGTGTTAAGTTAGGAATTCCAGCAACTTTGTTCTTCTCTATTAAAATTGCTTTGGATATTCTATGTCTTTTGAATTTTCATATAAATTTTAGAATTAGCTGGTTATTTTTTTAAGCGTGCAGGAAGTTTTATCAGGAATCTAGATCAATTTGGTGAAAATAGCTATATTAATCGTCTTTTAATACATGAATATGGTATAGCTTCCATTTATTCAGATCTTAGTAAATCCTCTCAGCAATGTTTTATAGTTGTCATTGTGGTGGTCTTGAACATATTTTGTTAGATTTGCTCCTAGGTATTTTATGGGTTTTGTTGCTGCTTGTAAATGGAAATTTTAAAATTTAATTTCTCATTGTTTGCTGATACTATATAAGAATACAGTTGATTTTTCCATATTAACCTAGTATCCTACGACATTGTTAAATTCATTTATTAGTTCTAGTAGCTGATTGTAAATTCCCTACAGCTTTCTACATAAGCATTCACATCATCTTCAAATAGTACAAAAGCAGGAGTCATGTCACAGAACTCAAGGGCAAAGGCAAGGCCTCTGGGGTCTTCATAAACTTAAAGAAGCTGAACACTCTGAGTCTTTCACATAGGGCACCTTCTCGCTTTTTCTCATTTGTGGAAGTTTCACGCACTCATCACAGTTAGGCAAGTATAGCTTCATATAAATGACTTATTCAGATCCTTTCTGATAAGATCTGAGAAGGATGTCAGGGCTCAGGAATTGCATTTGGAAGTGTTGCCAGCGCTTAGATGTCTGTTGTGTGAGACCTTGGATCCCCCACGAAAGACGTGCGGAGGTCCGTCGCTCACAGAAGATAGAACAGACGCAGAGTAGCAAGCAGAAGCGATTTTATTAATTAAAGCAAAGCAAAGTACACTTGGGAAAATTCCAACCTGGCAGCTCAACAGAGAATCAAGTGTGCCGAGAAGCTGAGGGTCGAGGGTTTAATAATAAGGATTCTTTTTTTCTCCTTTTATCCCACCCACCTCGAGCAGTGCGAATTCCCTGCTCCTTCCTTAGACCCACCTACTCCAAGCTGGGGCATGCGTACTTTCTGCCCATAGGTGGGAAGCCATACGCCTGCGCCATGGGGATTTTGAGGGTAGGCGTATGTTCAGTAAACTAATTTTGCCCATACCTGTTGAG